GACGACGCGGCTGGGCGCGGCTGCGGCCGGGCGCACACGCGGCTGATCCCGATGGCAGGAGCACAGCAGCCCAGGTTGCTTTTCCTGGTCTCCCATGGGGTGCAGGGCCCAAGCACCTGGGCCTTCCTCCACTGCACTCCCTGGCCACAGCAGAGGGCTGGCCTGGAAGAGGGGCAACGGGGACAGAATCCGGCGCCCCGACCGGGACTAGAACCCGGTGTGCCGGCGCCGCTAGGCGGAGGATTAGCCTAGTGAGCCGCGGCGCCGGCCTCCCCATTTACTTTTAAAGTCCACATTCTTCAAGATTTTAATCATGTATCATTTTCTTAGGTAATCTTCACTCTATTCTAAATTTACCAAAATCCCTACTTTGGTCTACTAGCATTATCAACTTTCTCTGACTGATTTTTTGTTTGTTTTATTGTTCTTCTTTCTCTGCTAAGATGTAAGATCTATGAAAACAAGGACCTTTCTATCTTGTTCACTGTGACATCTCCAGCAGCTAGAAGAGTGCCTGGTACACAGTGCTGCTACAGGGTAAGAAAACAGGACAACTAGAATCGAAACTAATTAGATGTGAGACCTTGAAGATTTTCCAGAGTTGGAGTCTGAGTATCATTTTGAGTGTCTGATATTTGAAGATTAAAATTTCAAGCATTTGATGTATTAAGAAAAACCTTACATATATTAAGAACAGATTATTTTTTTAAAGATTATTCCCACCACCACCACCATGACTTTTCAACTACAATGATAGAAGCCTAATAACAGTGGACCACAATCCACAGACTATGGAAAAAATTGTTATGATTTCAAGGTGTTGACAGTGATGTTAATTTTCTTCCATGTGGCAAGATTTCCAGAACATACTCCCAGATGTATAACGGTTAAGGAAGTGTACCACCAATCCTCTCTGAATGAAAAATAAAATAAAATACTATAATTAATGGATAAAAAATCAGTACAGCTCCTCTACTAGAAAAGAATCAAGACCTAAGAATAAAAATTGCTTTTCTTTTTAATTTAAGAAACCTATACATGTTGTTATATGTACCTATACATGTTGGTATTTTTATAGCCTCACAAAATATGGACCATGGTGCTTACATCAGCATTTTATCCTTTCCTACAACCTCTTTTGCAAACTGGGAATTAAGTTTCTTATATTTTACACAAAATATTCTGACATCTATGATGACCAATTAAACCCATAATTGCTTGTACTTAGTTCCAAACTTGCTGAATGATTTTTACCCTTGCAACACTGTGCTGAAAGAGTGTATTTTCTCTTCCTTTCTTTTTTCCCCTTCCACATAAGAAGAGATTCATAAAATGCTGTGATGGCATTTTCATTACCTAAAAACATAAGTAATAATTTTCATTATCTCTCAATGACCTCAAACACTAACTCATTTTATCTCAAGGAAGACTAATAAATCACCCTGTGGCATATGTTCTCTGTCACCAGCAACCTTTCTTTATATTGCTTGCTATGTCATTGACTCTAAATGCTCCTTCATTAGCAATACTGAATGGAAAACTATCTCAGCTATGGTAAGTATATGCAAAGACATAAAAGCTGCCAGGAAATTTGCCAAAATACTAGTGTTCCTGCTGAATGACAAGGTTATTCTTGTTTTCCCTTTTTAAGATTATGATGTTTTCTAATATTCTGTGACTGTCATTGCAATTATGGTTAATTGGAAGCTCTTATAAAAAATATACACATATATAATGTGCATTTAATTAGGCAAAAAAATGTACTAACAGACTCAATAGAAAATAAGCTACTATGTTTAACAGTAGTCCTCACTGGTTATATAAAGAGTTGATCTATCTTTTTCTTCCTTTTAATCTAAATTATGTTAGATATTTTGAATTCCTGCCGGCACTGGGCTCAATAGGCTAATCCTCTGCCTTGCAGCGCCAGCACACCAGGTTCTAGTTCCGGTCGGGGCCCCGGATTCTGTCCCGAGTGCCCCTCTTCCAGGCCAGCTCTCTGCTGTGGCCCAGGAGTACAGTGGAGGATGGCCCAAGTCCTTGGGCCCTGCACCCCATGGGAGACCAAGAGAAGCACCTGGCTCCTGGCTTCGGATCAGCGCAGTGCGCTGGCCATGGCCGCAGCGGCCATTGGAGGGTGAACCAACGGCAAAGGAAGACCTTTCTCTCTGTCTCTCTCTCTCACTGTCCACTCTGCCTGTCAAAAAAAAAAAAAAAAAAAAAAAAAAAAAAAAAAAAAAAAGAAAGAAAGAAAAAAAGAAAAAAAGAAGAAAAAGAAAAGAAATTTTGAATTCCTGTTGAGCATGTGTTAACTTCATAGCGAGAATTTTAAAAGCCTTCATTTTAACATTTTAACATACACCTATCACTGGAAAAATAAACTTTCAATTGACCATCGGCTATTTTTAGATCTCAGTATGAATGAAGAAATTCTAAGTGGGATAAATATGGCAGAGATGGTTAGCAGAGAGGAGTTGACTAGTGCATTAAGTCACGTTAAGTTTCTCCAAAGTAGAGATGAAGGTATGGCAAGATTATAATAAATATTTACATATTTACCATCATTATCTCATCCTTCTAGAGCCTGTCCTCTTTGCATACTTTTAAAACTTTCAATTTTGCTTAAACCTGACTTGATTTGCTTATGTCACAGCAATAGGAGCCACAGCCATGACAGATGATATTTTTTGACAATATGTGAGATTTTAAACAGTCCGTTCTTCTATCCGTTCATGGATTTCCTAGGTGTTTACTTAATGCCTGTCAATCAGCATTGGATTACATCAAACAAGATAGATGCAGATTTTAAATACTAATGTAAGTGTATAAGTGGTGAACTGACCATAAAAAATAAAAACATAATGAAGATAATTGTATACATATATAAATGCTAAGACAAAAATGAAACAGGTCAATGTAACGGGGGAAAATGGGGACAATTGGAATTTAATAGGGACCCAGGGGCCATCTATTTAACACGAGTTAAGACTTTGATAAATACTGAACTTTTGAGAACTGTGTTATATGGAATGCTGAGTAAGAGAAAGCTACTCTTCTTTTGAGACTGACAATCTAGTTGATTTTCAGAGCACCAATTTTTTTTTTTTTTTTTGGACAGGCAGAGTGAACAGTGAGAGAGAGGGAGAGACAGAGAGAAAGGTCTTCCTTTGCTGTTGGTTCACCCTCCTATGGCCGCCACGGCCAGCGCACTGCAGCCTGTGCACTGTGCTGATCCGAAGCCAGGAGACAGGTACTTCTCCTGGTCTCCTATGGGGTGCAGGGCCCAAGCACTTGGGCCATCCTCCACTGCACTCCCTGGCCACAGCAGAGAGCTGGCCTGGAAGAGGGGCACCCGGGACAGAATCTGGCGCCCCGACTGGGACTAGAACCCGGTGTGCCGGCGCTGCAAGGTGGAGAATTAGCCTATTGAGCCACGGCACTGGCTCAGAGCACCAATTTTTTAATGAAGCATTTCTTAAAGTGTGGTCCACAGACCAGCAGCATCAGAATGACCTGGTGCTTATTAAAAATGCAAATTTTCATGTCTCAGCCTAGATCTACTGAATTAACACTGTGATCTCCCAGCATTCTGTATTTTCACAGCTCTTGTGATTCTGATGTACACTGAAGGTAGGAAACTACTGCCTTACTCCCTACTCAGCTGAGTATGTTGAGAACAATTTTCTCACCCCAGCTCCCTGAAAAGTGCTTACCATTTAAATGTGTTATCTTTTTTTTCCTCCTTAAGTAGGACTTCTCACAAATTCGTTGATACTTCACATTGTTCAAATAGTTTAGAGAAAGTATACAGTGTCTTCTCTGAATCCATAAGGATGCACACAGTTTTTCTTTCACTAATAACTGCAAAGTACTGATTAGCGTGTTGTGAGAGAGGCCCTGCAGGAGAGGCGAGCAACCCCAATTAAGTTTCAGCACACTGACTATTCGGAGAAAATCGGAGACTTTTTGTCTTCCAAAAGGCCCCTAACAAAACCCAGAGCCAGATTCTGTTCCCAAAAAAGCATGACTGTTTATGTATTGTGGATGGATTGATGTCAAGACAAATAGCTTGTAGTTTTTAGTGAACAACTGTGGGGAGCAAAAATATATAACAGAATCTATGACCATATGTACCTATACCAGAAAAAAATCAGCAAAAATTGGCATAGCAAAGTCTAATGTTCTATATTTACTATATAATATATACTTCCTCCGAAGAGACTTTACATTCTTCATACTAAGACTTGCCAGGTGTGAAGCTACTAATTTCTTTCTTCAGTTGTGGAAATTCTCTTTGCAACCAGTTAGTTGTCAGTGGTTACCATCAATTCTCCAAATAACGTTAATGTGTTCTCATTAGCGATATATGTTCCTATTTTTAAGGAAAGCAAGAGAAAGAGGTAGCAGAGAAAGAATGAATAAGAGATCATCCCCTCAGATGTAGAACCTATTAAAACTTACCTTATCCAAAGCAAAATAAAATTTAAATTCAATATGCTTCTCAATGAATAAAATAGGGATCCCCTGCCTGGATTTTCTTTTCTTTTTTTTGGACAGGCAGAGTGGACAGTGAGAGAGAGGGACAGAGAGAAAGGTCTTCCTTTTGCCGTTGGTTGACCCTCCAATGGCCGCCACGGCCAGTGCACTGCGGCCGGTGCACCGCGCTGATCCGATGGCAGGAGCCAGGTGCTTCTCCTGGTCTCCCATGGGGTGCAGGGCTCAAGGACTTGGGCCATCCTCCACTGCACTCCCGGGCCACAGCAGAGAGCTGGCGCCCCGACCGGGACTAGAACCCAGTGTGCCTTTGCCGCAGGCGGAGGATTAGCCTATTGAGCCGTGGCACTGGCTTCTTATTCTAAGTGCTTAGAATTCATAAACAATTTTTCACTAAAAATGATAATTTTAAAATTATTTATAAATTAAATTCAATGCCATTCTAGATTCTTGTTATGTTATTTTCAACATTTATGTAGTTCTGAGATTTTGTGTTTCCTTGCAGTTTTGAACATGAGGCCCTCTTGTGCTTCTCAGTGATCTAGAAGAGGACACTTAACCAGAATTATCACCATCTGTTCAGCTGATAGGCCTGTCATGGGCCGATTATTACTCTTGGTGAGTTCTGTTCTTTCACGTCTAAAACGTGTTTGTGCTGAATCCAAACTAATTATGCAATTTAAATCTGCAAACTGTTCCAAGTTTCTGATAAATAAGAGTGTAGAGCAGGTACAAGTTTTATTCATTCACTGACAGGTGCAGAATGTACTGATAATGCTGCAGGAAAATCAGTTTAAAAGACATAATTATCCAATAAAAATACTGCTAATGAAAGTCTTTTGATATATAAAAACATGTAGTATGTAAATATATTGTATTTGAATCCTTTGGGAGAATGTGTTTTTAAAAGACTGCACCTGCATTCATAGCAATTTTGGAAAAATTAGGAATATTATTCTGTATTTTATAGCATCTTATTGAAATTACTTGACTCTGTAATAAAAGCACCTTAAAATGAAGTATAATATAGAAAACTAAAAATTATCAAAGGTGAAATTTTTGCAACAATTAAAATTTAACATTATCAATTATGTCTACAAGGATTATAAAAGAAGGAAATTTAATTACATTGTTTGTCAGAGTGGGGAGATGCTCATTTGAATAGGAATTTTGTAAAGAATGTAATTACAAGATTTATATTGGAACAAAGAAAGATAGGTACAGGAAGATTACTATTAAGGTAGAAATACTGTGTGTTCATGGCTTTATAAAGAAATCTCTTTTAGACCTCTCTCACTAATGTTCCCTGGCACAGTATCATATTGTCTATCAATGTACTGCTAAGAGAATCTTAGATGCACCTGTAAAGTCTTTCAAGGAGAACAGGAAACAAGTTGATGCTATTTCTCAAAGCTGAGAAAACTCAAGGTGGGCTAAATTGTCTTGAGAAAAATCCAGAATCCTTCCATAGGTTCCAGAAGCCTTACTGAAGAGTAAAGAAAATACATCAACTGTTAAACATTCAGCCTCAATCAAAAGGTGACCTTATGAAAATCCGCAAGTCAAAAATAATACTCAAAATAAGGAAATAAATATAAAACACTTAAGTAATCAATGATCATGCAAAATAATGAGAAGTCAAATAATATATAATCATATTCACTGATTTTAATAAGAAAGGGAATATTTTAACATTCTGTTTATACTACAAAGTATATTGTCATCATCAAGTAGGAATCTTACTTCATGAATAGAATAAATTAATATCAGGGAACTCTTATCCAAATACTCCTGAGAAATGTAGGGACTGTACCAATAATGTATCATTGTACAAACAATGAACAAATAAAAGAGAAGTTAGCAATGTGTTTCAAAATTATGGGCTAGACAAATGCTTTCAAAAAGACAAGAGATTATGCAGATTCAACCCTGTCTCCCAGCTCAATTATTGGTAATGAGATATTAGTAGGTCAAGCATTACTTTTCAATTATGCTAACAGTACAGATTAATAAGAGAGAAGAAAATGGCTATGGAATAACCAACCAAATAAAACTTCACAAAACAATTTATGAAAAGGGACAGGATCTTCAAAGCTAAAGTCCAATAAACTGCTTGGGTTCACAAAGCCTCTCTGATATAGTAAGTGAGGTTATAACAAATATGCCAGCCTGCAGTACTCATGCTAAGATGTGCAAATTACAATGAACTCCATACACCAACCAAGAACTTGCCACTTTAGCTTAAATAACAACAATTCTTTATTCTTGGTTTAGAATATGGCTATATACTTAGGGAGCCGTATCTGAAGAAATTATTGTAACCCTAAGAAGACCCATGAAGCAACCTAATAAACATATGACAAAGAGTGAGAATAAGAATAAAAAGATAATAAAAAGTGTGGATCCACTGCATTGGTAATTTTATAACTAGATTAATTAAAGTTCCTTAAAATTTTTGAGATAATTTAAAGTGTGTTGGGTATGCTTTTTGATGCGACATAAGCTCTGAAATCTGATATAGTACACTCATGACTTAATTACATGTTTGGGAAATCTAATTAAATAACCTTAATCATAATTTAAATAATGGGAAAATATTGCTTTTTTCAATATTGAGAATATTTATGTATTTCAATACTTAAGCAATCAGAAGACAGAATTTAGTAGGTACATAATAATAAAATTTGTGTATTAAGTAGAGTATAAAGAGTTTTAAATGTATCTCATCCTGTGTAAGAGCTGATGGGATATTAATGTTAAGAACAGTACCTGCTAACCACTTATATGCATATATGGTAGATACCATTTCCAGTACCCTATCATGTTTTTACATTGATCCTTTTAACAGCCACATTGTGATTTCTCTATTTTACAGATGAGGAAACTCTACACCAGGAGACTACATGAATTATTCTAGATTACACATCATGTAATCCCAGATACCTGCACTTCAGTTTTTCCCAGACTTTACCATTGTGATATGAACCCACTTGCAACAACTTCACAGCAGAATCACTGATCCATTTAAGTGTGAGTTACTCTCCATAAAGTTGTAATAATGCTACATCTTCCTTGGTTTATATGAAGGTAGAGCATTTATGTAAGTGACAAATGAGCCTTACAGTAAGCTTTCTTAGTGGGTCACAGCTGTACTCTACTCTGCTGAAATCATTGAAGCAAGGTTTCATTTAAAATTCAAATCTTTGGAAGGAAGTCTCAGAAGAAAATGTATTTTCCCAGTCTCATAATTCATGTTTTGAATGAAAATAGTAATGTATGAAATAGACATTTTGAGTTCAAAATCATTTTAAAACATTAAAACGTGTTTCTACCTTCATTTGAAATACCAAGAAATACAGAGACATAGTAGTTCTGAATCATTTAATTTTCTTTGCAAAGTTCAGCTCTGTCCATTTAATTGTCTTTTATAGCTGCAGACAAGAGGAAAGGTGTATTCAATAACTAAAGATTATGATTCTGGAAAGAACTAGACTTGTGCTCTCTGTTGTAGCCTATTGCACAGATCTCTATCCTACCATTACAGTCTTATTAGCATTTAATGATCAGCTGCTGCTTCAAGAATGAAGTAGAACTAGGGAGCCTGTTGGCCGGCGCCACAGCTCACTACAGCTCACTAGGCTAATCCTCCGCCTAGCGGCGCCGGCACACCGGGTTCTAGTCCTGGTCAGGGCGCCGGATTCCGTCCCGGTTGCCTCTCTTCCAGGCCAGCTCTCTGCTGTGGCCAGGGAGTGCAGTGGAGGATGGTCCAAGTACTTGGGCCCTGCACCCTCATGGGAGACCAGGAGAAGTACATGGCTCCTGCCATCGGATCAGCGCGGTGCGCTGGCCGCAGCGCGCCGGCTGCAGCAGCTATTGGAGGGTGAACCAACGGCCAACAGCAAAGGAAGACCTTTCTCTCTGTCTCTCTCTCTCACTGTCCACTCTGCCTGTCAAAAAAAAAAACAAAAAACAAAACAAAAAAAAAAACTAGGGAGCCTGTTGAAATATTGTTTCTTAAATATCTGGTCCACTATACCACAAAGCTATTCTAGTTTTCTAAGTAGAAAAATATTTAGATACTATTTATCTAAATAAATAAATAAATTACCTAAATACAAATGCAAAAAAAAAAAAAAAAAAACAGATTTAAATTCTAAGCTGGTCTCCTAACCTAATGGTTTCAAAGTTGATCACTTTAACAGCCTATGTCCAAATTCCACAGAATCAACGTGAAATGAGTCCTATTCTTACTTTCATTTTCCAATTGTCCTCTAGTCCCAGAGAAAAAGATGTCATCCTTCTTTGCAATGCTGCTTTCAACATATATTTATGTTCTTTGACTTCATTCAGGACACTTTTTAACCTTGTTCCTCTAATTTATCCCTCTCTGCATTTTATTAATTTATATAAGGATAACAAGATGTCAGAAAGGTGTGTTCATACACAGTGAATCCTCATAACAATCTTAAAGCAAGAAATACTACCAGCTCCTTCAATTCTAAATCAAGTATATCTGTTCATCTATTTCCTAAGCTCTGTAGAGACAAAAACCAACAGAGGGAAACCTTAGTTCTATACATGCTTTGTATTATCATTTCCAAACCCTGTTTGAAGCTCTTATCTGTTGCCCTCTCTCTTTTGCACTATCATTACTGACTTTCTGCTCACAAGAACAGAATTCCTGGTATATTACCTGTAACCACCCATTCCATTTCTGGTGTCACAAGCTGATGGCAAAGTGTGTGATGATGGCTTATTTAGCAGCCTACTTTCATCTTCAGCCACTCCCCAGCCACACTCCAACCCACTTCCACAGCCACACCCTGAACCTTAGCACAACTCAAATCTGCTATACTCACAAAATCTTTCATTCACTTATGTCTATCCGGAGCCTTCGCTCTTTGTAAGTCGTTCTACCAACAGCCACATCACAGTCTGCAATTTCTCAACCACATCATTTGTTACAAATCTGTCAACTTTGCCTGGATTCACTCCTTTCCCTACCTAGCCTTGACCTACAACCTAGCACTTTATGCTGCATAACTCTCTTGTCACACCATTTCCCATCTGGATAAGAAAGCCCTTGGAGCAACCGTCATGCATCTTTACATAGCATGTCTTCCACTTAGACGGTATCCAAAATTTTCACATTTCCCAGAAAACCCTTACACAGCCACACCCTCCCTCAACCTCAGCAAATTAACTGCTATACATAATTGTTTATGTCTATATAATTTTACCTATGTATTACAGGAGGTCTTCTCTGCTCCTATGCCAAGTAAATCTTCCCAATCCCAACTCTGAATTAACTTACCTTTTTGTCTTAACCTTGATTATCTCCAAACTGGAGCTTGAATAAAAAAATATAATGTAGGTAGTTTATTAAGATTGTGATCCTAGAGAGAGAGTAAGAACAGGGTGATGAAATGGTATAAGGAAAACAAACACAGAGATATGTTTTTTAATTGATCACCTCAACAAACTATTTTTTATTGTTAATGCATAATCATCTTGAAAACCTTAAGAGATAAAAGTGTCCACACAGTAATGGATGAACCCTGAGGGTACTATGCTAACTGAAATAAGATAATATTATATTATCACACAATACTGTATAATTCCTCTTATATGAGATACTTAATGTTGTCAAAATCATAGAGACAGAAAATAGAGTTGTGATTGCAAAAGGCTATGGAGGGGAGAACCTGAGAGTTCTTTAACGGGTAGAGTTTCATGATGATGAAATAATTACAGAATAAATGACGGTGACAGTTTGCATGCTATTATGAATATATTTAATTGCATTGAATTGTACACTTAAAAGGGATTAAGAGGGTAAATTCTGTTATATATGTTTTGCCACAATTAAAATAGTAAGTTGAATGTGCACATTAAATATTTCATAGTTTCTGTTAGTTGGGATCTGGGCAGTAATTAGCTGTATACTCTGAATCAGGATCTCTCACCAGTATTCCTTCGAGGTTCAAATGAGGCAGAATCTGCTTTCAAGATCATTCAGTGTTGGCAAGATTCACTTCCATGTGGATTGCTGGATTGAGGGCCTCAGGTCCTGGCTTATTCCTGACAGAAACCACCTTCAACTTCTTGTCTTACAGACCTCTCTAACATGGTAACTGGCTTTATAAACATCAGAAGCAGAGATAATATGTCAACAAGAAGGAAGATACAATTATTTAAAATATAATAATGAAGGTAACCTCTCACCATTTTTGTTGTAATCTATGAGAAGAAAATCACTAGACCAGTGCACAATCACTTATAAAATAGCGAACAAAGGTATGAATGCTAGGAGTTGGGATTATTGGAAACGTAGCTATTTCACATCACATCTTCCTAACGTCTCACCAGTTCTCCAACCTTTACTGTAATCATGCCAAACTGCAAATTAACATCACAAAATGGGCAAAACGGATCATAGAATTTTATATTTTTATAAGTGTAATTCTTTTTATTCTGAATGGCCACTCCATAGTTTACGTAAGCACTGCCTATTTTGTCTTTATTTAATTACTCCTAGTTTAATTTAAATATCCTGCCTCTGTACTCTCACAGGCCTCTGTTTAAATAAGTAAAGTTGCTCTAAAATCTATAATCTATTGCTGATTTATGTATTATCTTATTCCATAAACTATTAATTCCCTGTTTCTCATGTCCTAAGTACAATGTGTGACCCTCAACACAATGTCTGAAACACTGTGGTTTCTTATTAATATTTCTTGAGTAAATGAACGAATGAATATTGTTATTTTCCTTTCATGGATTATTAAATTTGCTCTCAAAAGAAATTAAAGGGGTTACTCAAGATCCCAAAGTTTATAAACTAGAAAGCCAATTTTCACACAGGTGCTTTTTAATCCCTGTTTAAAGAGGTGGATACTGCCTTTGTGTGTTATTTCTATTATTGACTTGTTACTTTTACTATCATCATTACTTTTTTTATTTTACTTCCATGATTCTTCTTCCATTACACATAAATGACTTAAAGTTTTCTGTAATTTATTGGAGTTAGGAGGATCTTAAGAAGGCATTTAGTTTACCTTGATGATCTTTTCACTTACATATTAATTTGCCTTTTACACTTATTACCAAATACCCTTAATATTTCATTATTTGAACTTCCTGAAAGTTTCTTTCAGTCCCAGTCTTTCATCTTTCATCTTCAACATTTTGTTGATTCCTTTGCTAAACTGCCTAGTAGATGTGTATGTGCATAGTGCTGCTTCTATCATACTTTTTCTTTTGATTCCATTTGACTCTACTTAAAGGACTCTTTTCTGTTAAGGTTAGTACTCTTCCCACCTCTCCAGTCATACTCTTTCTCTACCAATGAATAGTTCCCACTTAATCTGTTGTAAGCTTATTTCCGAAATTCAGTCCTCAGGTCACTTTCATCTCAACCCAAGGCTTAAACTAGATTTATTTATTTATTTATTTGAAAGTCAGAGTTACACAGAGAGAGGAGAGGCAGAGAGAGAAGTCCTCCATCTGCTGGTTCATTCCCCACTGGCCACAACAGCTGGAGCTGTGCCGATTGGAAGCCAGTAGCCAGGAGCTTCTTCTGGGTCTCCCAAACAGGTGCAGGGGCCCAAGGACTTGGGCCATCCTCTACTGCTTTCCCAGGCCACAGCAGAGACCTGGATGGGAAGAGGAGCAGCTGGGACTAGAACTGGCGCTCATATGGGATGCTGGCACTTCAGGCCAGGGCTTAACCCACTGTGCCACAGTGCTGGCCTCTTAAACTAGATTTTTAATAATGATTTACTCACTTATATTAATAATATCCAATTTCAAAATTATATTTCATATTTATAATTGCATAAAAGACTCTATGAGAATGTCTTATTATACACTTAAATCCAACTAAAATCTTCCATTTCTTTCAGCTTCAGTCCTACCAATAACCTTATCTCTTTTCTTTCCCAGCTAACCATCTTGATTTCATTCTGTCTCAATGGATAGCCATTTTGGGGTTCTAACCTCTTGAAGCATGGACTTTTGAATCATAAAAGCCTTGCTTTGTTCAGAATTCTAAGAAACAAGAGCAGCATCTCTTCCTAGATAAATCATTTGTCATTCACCTTCACTGAGTTATCAATTTGTACAAGATAGCATCATATTTTTTAGGCCTGTCACTCAAAGTTGGCTTTTCAGAACCTATCTTGATCTTGGTGATACTGGACAGTAATTAGATATGGGCTCTGAAGACTGATTTCTTTGTTTCAAATCTCAGCTCATTGTGTGAATTTGAGAAAATTGCTTAATTTTTCGATGCCTCTATGTTTTATCTGAAAATGGGTGTATAGAAGGGGGAAACAGGAAGCAGGTGTTCTAATTTTTTCAATGAACTGTTTGATTAAGTGAGTTAAAATACATATCTAGCTTATAATAGCTGCACAATAAATGGTAGCTATTATTAGTTTCTAAAATGCAGTTTCCACGCCAGGAGTCAAGTTTACTCACTGCCTTGTAAATTTCCTTGATTGACTTCAGCTTTGTTGACTTTTCTGGTATAATCACCTGCAACATTTTATAGTGCACAACCATCCCCTTAAATAATCAAATTCTAATTACTCTACAATGTCATAATCTTATCCTACCTCCTCCTTGAAGTCTTAGCTATTTTATTTGAGCTTCCTCCTCTGAAATCCTTTAAGAGGTAAAGGTATTGCTGTAATCACTCAGTTGACTTATCAGATACTTTCTTTTTTTGTTGTTGTTGCTAATGCTTCAGGACTGTGTCATTTTTCTCTCCAGCCAGAGGCTAACCTTGAAAACAAGAGGAAATATATCTTTTCTTTATTCCTTTCAGTAATTTATATTTACTGAGAGGTGTTAGTTGTACGTTTGTTGAATTTCAACAAGATTTGAACATAGAGAGGGATGCCTTCCTTGTTAGCAGACATATATTAGTGACATAAACTGTGTCAAATTCATTCTTCCAGGTTTCCAAAATCATTAAGATATTCAAGGACAAATGATAGTAATTTTTTCTTGTGAGATCATTATCTTTCAAGAGAAACACTTTCTACAGAGCAAGAAGAATAACTATGACTTTTGCCTTCTTACAGGTCAGAAATTAAGAAACTAGCTGACTTCTTAAGTTAAAACCAAATCAGTATCAACATGTCTACATAAACAACTGGAACTAGTTTGTACATAGTAATTAGCTTTGAACTTATCACAAGTGTGTCCCTTTGGGCACTTCCTGCACCTGTTCAGAAATAAGCTCCTATTGGAAAGACATCTTTTAAATTACTGAGAAATGTAACTATTGAGCCTATTATAATGTTTCTCTCTCATAGTAATAAAGCCCCAACTGTGGCTTGAATGTTTATCACGTTTCCCAATAGTATATTTCAAGTTCAACATAACCAGAATATAAATGTGAAAAGATTATTTGAAGGATTGAGAATATGCTGACAATTTGATACACTAGAGTGTCAAATATTAATAATTTGAATAATTATCTTAGGTTATTTTTGTACATTTTTGTAAACTTGTACTTCCTTGGAGATATTTATATGAAAATTATTTTAGTTTTAAAGCCATACAGGCTGTTGTATAATATTCATAATCCAATAAGTAATATTTTTTCATAGGACTTCACCATTTTTATTCACCTTTCATCATTTCCTTAGAGTTTTATAGGGTATTAATAGTAGTAACGAACACTTATATAGAGGCTAGTATGTAATTCCACAGTAGTCTTTCTTTCTTTCTAAGAGCCTTTCATATATTAACATTACTAGTAGTCAATATTCTGTTCGCTACGATAAATAAACCACACAAAATTACAGTGCTATTGTCTCAATTTTATTGTTTCATATATGTAATAAACTTTATTGAACATTGACAATGTAAGATCACTGTCCGTGTATTTATTTCTCTTTTCCCCAAATATCCCAATTATTTTATCATTTATATTTCTTTTAATTTTTTAAATTTTTATTTGAAAGTTAGAGAGAGAGAGAGATCAGTACAGATCTTATATCTGCAAGCTCACTTCCCAAATGCTTGCAATATCCAAGGCTAGGCAAGTCCAAAACCAGGAGCCTGGAATTCATTCCAAATTTCCAACATGAGTGATTATCACTGTGTGCCTTCTGGGGTGTGCATTAGCAGGACAGGATAATCAGAAGTAGAGATGGGACCTGAATCTAAGTACTCTGTTAAGGGGTAAGGGCTCACAAATATCATCTTAACCACTGCAACAAATGCCAGCCCCTTTTGTTCACCTTGCTATATTTTGAAAGTTCTAAAAGTCTGGAATATTATCTATTATGAAAGGACTTCAGAAATTTCATGCACAAACGGAAATAGAAGGTAATATATATTCATTTTCTATAAGGTTTTTAAGACCCTTCATATAGGTATACATACATATATTTATGTGTACAGATACACATACAGATACATGCATTCATTAAATACACTTCCAAGATTGATTTTGATATGCAGTTAGGGGCCGGCACAGTGTTGTAGTGGGTAAAGCCTCTGCCTGCAGTGCCAGCATGCTTTATGGGCACCAGTTCGAGTCCCAGCTGTTCCCTTTCCCATCCAGGTCTCTGCTGTGGCCTGGGAAAGCAATGGAAGATGGCCCAAGTCCTTGGGCCCCTGCACCCAGGTGGGAGACCTGGAAGAAGCTCTGGCTCCTGACTGGATCAGTGTAGCTCTGGCCATTACAGCTTATTAGGGAGTGAACCAGCAAGTGGAAGACCTCTCTCTCTCTCTGCCTCTCCTTCTTTCTGTGTGTAACTCTTTCAAATAAATAAATAAATCTTTAAAAAAAAGAAATGCAGTTAAATTGTTTGATTTATTTGCCTCTTGCCCACACGTTGCTCCAGTTATTCTTTAAAAAAAAGATTTATTATTCACAAGAAGGTCAGAGTTACAAAGAGGGAGAGACAGAGAGAGATCTTCCACCCACTGATTCATTTCTCAGATAGCTGAAGCTGCCAGAGTTGAGTCAGACTGAACCCAGGATCCAGAGGCATCATCGAGGTCTCTCTCATGACTTCAGGGGCCCAAGCACTTCAACCATCTTCTGCTACATTTCCCAGGCCATTAGTCTGGAGCTGGATCGGAAGTGGTGCAGCCAAGGAAGGAAGTGGTGTCCATACCAGATGTCAGCTGCATAGGTGGTAGCTTTCCCATCTATGCCACAATGCTGGCTTCTGCATCCATTCTTTTCTCTTAAGCATCACTGCCGTGACACACTGTTTCTCTTGCTCTTCCTGCAGAGTTCTTCCTTCCCCATTCACCTTCCCCATTCACCTTCACCATTCACCTTCCCCATTCACTTGAATAAACACTCAAGCCTATTCACCCATTTTCTTCATGATGTCTATAAATATTTCCACTCCCATACTCTCTCTCCTTTGATATCCCACACTTATT